CGAAGAGCTGTGTAATATATATCATGTGTTGTCGCCTGTCAGTCCCCAGAGGAGTTCTCATGTGCCGTCCGTCGACTGGCGTGTCCCATGATATGACATCTGAGGGTCACCCACCGGCCACCGTTTACCGGCGACTCTGAGGGCCATCAGCCCCGAGTCCCTAGATATCCTCAGCTCGCACCCGGCAGCAGTCTCTGTCGCATCTGGAGTGTAGTCTATTCTAATATGCTCAGATGCATTGCGCTGCTTCTTGTGTAAATCTGCTGGGAAACTTGGAAAGTGCTAACAACGATATATGTGCGAAGTGGAAGCTGTGTAAAGTCGTCTGCATATTAATTTCAACGGTGGTTAATGCGAAGTGATATTGGTCGAAACTGTTTTGTTATTCGTAAGCTTGTCATTCATGAGTATGACTTCAGGAATGGAATTGCGCGCCTCGCAATATCAACGAAAAAGTGAGAGTTACGGTGCCAGCAAGAAGTAAGATTATTGTCGCTGTATGACAGCGGCGGGTTATATTGCTGCTCGCCGAGAGGTCCCTGAGGGCGTCGGCGGGCGCCGTCCGGCTGTGCACCCCCGAGTAGGCCCAATCAGCACATCTGACGGTCGCCCAACGGCGACTCTGAGGGCCCCACTGGCGTCTAGGAGTACCATGCCGGTCTCTGAGAACCGCTCAGAGCTCCGGAAGGCATCCTACGGGCCCCTAAAGGCACCACACAATCTCTTACATAGTCACGCTTAGATCTGATAGGTCTCATACCGCCATCTGAGAGCCCTACGCCAGCGCTTTTCATAGCCCCACATCGACTTCTGCAGGAGCCCATCTCGGCGCCTCTTGGGACTCCACACCGGCGCCCCTTTTGGCCCCACAGCGGCACCTCTAAGGGCTCCACACCAGTGCTTCTGTGGGCCCCACACCGCACACGGCACACTGCAACTGGCACCTCTGATGGCCCACACCGGCTATTCTGAGGGCACTCATCAGCGCCTGAGAGTACCACGCCGGTTTTCAAGGGTTGTACAGGCTTCTGAAGACACCACGACAGCTCTTAAATCTCGCTGAGCTTCAATAGGTCCAATAATTGGCTCTGAAAGTAAACGCCAGGGCTCTCATAGCCACACACCGGCACCTGTAGGGCTTCTTTATATCAGCGACTCGTCTCACCGGCACATCCGTCATCCGATGGCCGCCCACTGGTGATTCTGAGGGCCCCCGTCGGCATCCCAGAGTACCACGCCGGTCTTCAAGGGCCCCACAGGTCTACTGAAGGCACCACACAAGCTCTTCAATAGTCTTGTTGAGCTCCATTGGGTCCCATACCGGCCCGGGCCTGAGACTCCATTTCAGCGCTTCATAGCTCCACACCGGCACCTGTAGGGGCTCCGAACCGACGACTCTGGGGGCCGCACTCTGTCGTATAAAGCCCTGCCTCTGAGTACCCTATACCGATCTATCATAGGATCAACACCGGCGCATCAGACGGCCACCCACCGGCGAATCTGCGGGCCCATACTGCCGTCTGCCGAGTCCCGTGATATCCGCGACTGGCGACTGCCACCCGTCGGTAGTCTCAGTCGCAGCTTTGAATGTAGTCTGTTAACCTAATCTGACCTTACCTTACTTAGGCTCGATTCAATTTAACCATTTGTGCCCTTTTTTCATTCGATCATGCTCTTTTCGCTTTGTATTTCAATAGCCGCGCCCGCCGAGCGGCCCCGCGGCGGCGGCGGCCGGCGCCGGCCGGCTGTGCACCCTCGGTGACGTCATCCCGCCACCTGCGCAGAAAAGCTGCGCGCTGGGATGATTCTACCTGGTATATACTGCCTTGGCCTTGGGTGAGATCTCACCCCCGTCTCTTATCCTAGGGGCCCACCGTCGATTCGAACTGTAACGTTATGCAGCCTGACAATTTTTTATCACTAATGTCAAGGTCCGTCATAGGACTGAAAAACAGTTTTCAGGCCTGATAGCCCCCCTTTAGGATTTATAGTCCCATTTTATGATTTAAGGGGGTGCATCCAAGGCCTAGGAGGGCCCGTTCCATGGCATGAGAGGGCCACTTCAGGCCTGAGAGGGCCCATTTCAGGTCTGTGAGGACCCATTTCAGGCCTGAAGGGGCCCAGTTGAAGCTTGAGAGGGCCCATTTCAGGCCCTAGAGGGGCTGTTTGAGGCTTGAGAGGGGCCCATTTCAGGCCTGAGAGGGCCCATTTGATGCCTGTGAGGGCCCATTTCAGGCCTGAAGGGGTCCATTTCAGGCCCTAGAGGGCATGTTTGAGGCCTGATAGGGCCCACTTCATGCCTGAGAGGGGCCCATTTCAGGCCTGAGAGGGGCCATTTCAGGCCTGAGGGGGCCCATTTCAAGCTTGAAAGGGCCCATTTCATGCCCTAGAGGGCCTGTTTGAGGCCAGAGAGGGCCCGTTTGAGACCAGAGATGGCCCGTTTGAGGCCTGAGAGGGGCCCATTTCAGGCATAAGAGGCACCATTTCAGACCTGAGATGGCCCAGTTACGGTATGAGGGGCCCTTTTTTGGACATGATAGGGACCATTTCCGGGCTGAGGGGGCCCATTTCAGATCTGAGAGGGCTAATGTCAGGCCTGAGAGGGCCCATTTCAGGCCCTTGAGGTCCTATTTGAGGCCTGAAAGGGGCCCATTTCAGGTCTGAGAGGGCTAATGTCAGGCCTGAGAGGGCCCATTTCAGGCCCTAGAGGACCTATTTGAGGCCTGAGAGGGTCCACTTCAGCCCTGAGAGGGGCCCATTTCAGGTCTGAGAGGGCCTAGTTCAGGCCTGAGAAGACTCATCCCAGGAATGAAATGATCATCCTATGTGTGGGAGGGTCCGTACTCCGTGCCTGGTCTGGGTCTGAGAGAGCCTATCCCAATCCTGATTGAGCCGATATCATGTTTGATATAGGTCAACTCACCACATGTATATTGATGGCCCAGCTCATGTCTAATGGGCCCATCTCAAGACTCAGAGATTTTATGCTTCAGGAACTAGGAAGCAAGCATACCCCAAGCGTGAGGGGGCCCATAGAGGTTTTTGAGGCTCATGGAGGTCCCGCGGTACGATATGTCAGCCTCTGAGAAGGCCATGCAGGGCCCTTAAGATGTCAAGCCGACATCTGAAAATTCCTCTTCTCTTCAGGCCTGTGCCTGCCTCACCGCCCGGCCCCACCCTGACGTCTAGGGGTTTGACGCCTAGGCATTCATCAGGACTCCACACCGGTCCATGATGGCTCCAAACTGACATCTGAGGCTCCTGCACCGCCTTTTGAGGGGCCCACCGACCTCTGATAGCCACCACGCAGGTCTCAAAAGACCATGTCGATTGTTGATAGCTAACCCCCCAAGTCTTGGAAGGCCTGTGCTCTATGCAGATTCTTGAGGGCTTTACGTGGGCTTGTAAACATCCCGAGCTGGCTCTAGCCTAGCTCGACCGCGCCCCGCAGAGCAGGGCCCCAGGCTTTCCAGTTTTACGCCCCTGAGGGGTGTTTGAATATTCCCTTCTAACCTGACTCCAGGGTCACGTAGCGACAAGTGCGGCGGTAGGCGGCTTTCTAAAGAGCGTCGAAAATCATGGAGAAATTACTTCAGTCATGTTGCAGTTCAGACCAAAGCCCACGTCATCATGTTCATCGAAGGAAAAGTTTCGCCTATTTCGACACTCGAGGACATATAAAGCTATAGCGCGCTGCAAGTGGGTTCGATAGCTCTCTAACGCGTGCAATCAGCCATGGGCGGGGGGGGGGGGGGGCGTATCGGCCAAACCCGTCGACCCGATCATAATTTAAGAAGGGTAGAAAGACGAGAAAAGCAACAGATAGCTGTAGGATGCTTCAGAATCGTAGAGGTCATTTTTCGATTAGGTCATCGCTGAGGTCATCGAAGATGAAATTATGATAAAATAATGATAAACACAAAGACAAGATTACGACGAAAAAAAATCTAGTTTTTATATTTTCACAAATAACCGTATAACTCGTGAACCAAAGAGCTAGAGCTTTGCGGAACAACTCATTCGATAGGCCTTTCAAAACGCTGTCGCTTTTAAGATTTGACCTCAATGCCTCATGTCAATGGTTTGGCTACAGAGCAGAGGGCAAAACCATCTAAATAGTCGCATTTTACCAAAATAGTTTTGCTAAAAACTTTTGCAAGAACTTTGGTGAGAAAAATTATGAGACATTTACTTTGTCATCATCCTCTCGTTAACATGCATCGAATGTTAACACCTATAATTTCACATAAAAAGTTCAACTTCAAAATGTGACCGCAGATCAAGGTCATGCCCTTACCTACTTGAGAAGTTCATGATGGTCATCAACTCATCCGTATGTAGGTATGATCTAATACCTTCAAGACAATTTCATTACTCTACCTCGTCTCCTATATCAAAAGTAATAGTCGAAAAACTGATGTTGAGCTTTTTTAAAAGCTTTTTGACCTAGCCCGACCATTTGAGTGGCCGCTGGCCATCAATTGCACGCTGTCCGTCAAATATGGGCAGAATGGTCGTGTTTCTGTAAATATGCTGTTGTTTTTTACTTGCCTCTTCAGATCAAGAGATATTTGTCCTTTTCCCCGATTTGGCTGGTAATGATCAGGACAATGATCTGAACTTTCGTTGTTGGTAAGGGGCCCCCATTAGGTTGAGGGGGGCCCACTTTGCTGGGGGGCCCATCGCGAACGTCTCTCACCCCCGTCGCCAGAGTTCTGGCTGCGCCACTGCGGATATCTACTCTCACTTTCGAAGTCGGTTCACTTCAGAGTTACCCACTTCATAACAGCGCATGTGAGGACATTTTGGGTATAATTCATACCCGCTCACTGGTATACGCACCAGGATGGTCAGCAGTTTTCACGAGAAATGACAAGACCCGACCACCAGTTATGCCATGAAAGCCATAAGAATGTTCTCGCAATGCTAAGTGAGCCTTCTGTGCAATAACAAAATGAAGAGTCATATGCTATTGCACTAACCATTTAAATAATATTTTTAAACGGTGACAGCACTGTCCTCATTTTGTATTAAAACCGATCTTAGAACAACTGAAACCGTCAGCTTCTGGGTTTGATTCAGGAGTAAACGTTTCTCACCGACAATCACGATATTTCACAATTCAATCGCTGCAATCAGCAATGAGGACCAAAGTACACACAACACGGCTCCAATAATAACAATGCACACATTTGAGAGTAAAGTCCCAGTCGGCGGGCCGGCGGCGGCAGCCGGGAGACACGACAGACGGCCGACCTCAAATCAACTGAGATCATAAAGCAAATCCAAAGCTCATTACAGCATCAGAGGCCGGTGGGGCCCGGCGCGGTGGCGCCGGACGGTCCGCGCCGGTCACGGACGGCGCCATGCCCGCCGTATTCTCACACAGGCCAGCACGCGCCTCGCACACATACGCACAGCCTCCGGTCCACGCACACGCGCCGGCCGAGCTCACGGTACAAAAGTACGGCCCGCTCTGAGGTCCGGCGCCCGCTGTACGGTCGACACGGCGCCTCGCCGGCAGACCGCCGACAGCGCCATCCGGCGTCAGAGTCCGGCACTGCGACTGCCACCGACGGCCGGTAGATGTCACTGGCAGCCTGCGGTCGCCGGGCGAGTTGTACTTGGAGCGTGACTAGCGGCAGCAGCAGGGGAGTCTGGACGGTATGTCGGGCTCACCTCTGAGTGTACTCGGGCAGAGGTCGGACCGTGCCCTCCTGATACACCTGTAGAACCGCCTGGCACACAAACTGGTACTGACTCTGCGGACACAGCGGGGTGGGGCGCTGTCAGAACAATGGTGCACCAACAAGTTTCGCGTGCGACGGTATTACCAACATGGGTGGTGTTCAATCTTTATAACTACCATCTGAGCATCATTTCAACTACTAAGGAAGGGTTAATCATTCATTCAAGAAACTGAAACAATCCCATAGCCGAAAACAGCACCCAGCTTAGAAGAACTACCCATGAACTGAAACACCAGATGGCAAAAGCGAATAAAATGAATCGTAGCTCCTCCACACTATCTTTCCTTCTCACTAATTCTCTAGAACGATAGCCCACTCAAAGCCCACTAGCACACCAACTCTCCCTAACCCTCCCGCTACTCACAGGGGTCTGGATCATCATGGCGCGCTGCCGCCGCATGGTGCGCACCAGCTCCAGCGGGTAGACGGGCTGGTTGGCCTCGATCAGGCACATGGCCGTCTCCATCAGTATGAGCACGCCCGTCCGTCCGATGCCGGCCGAGCAGTGGACCACGGTCGGCTCGACCAGGCCGGCGCGCGCCGCGCGCACGCGCTGCACGAACTGGACAAAGTCGGCCGGCTGTTCGGGCACGCCGTGGTCCGGCCACGAGACGTACTGCATGTGAGAGATGTGACGCTCCTCGCCCGTCTGTGGGAGGGGAGGGAGGGGGAGTTAGAGGAAGATAGCACGCGGTGGCGGGAACCTGTGGCGAATGCTTCGCCATGGGCAGAAAAAAAACATAAAACTGGACAAAATTCAATCAGCGTTCATCAGCGTAATAAGAACAAAGTTCTAAATAACATCCAAAACAGCCTCTCCCGAACCATTTATCGATCTCCCCTCCCCTCCAGCCCTATCTGGCGCGCACCTCCTCGCAGACGAGTGTGATCTCTCGGAAGGCGAAGCTGTCTGTGAGCTGCTGGCTGGCCGTGCTGACGCGCAGGTGGCCGTGCAGGCGACTCTCGCCGGGAGGGGGCCAGTACTGGTGACATTTGACGCGGCCCTGCTCCACCAGGGTGGTGAGCATCACCACCAGGGGCGACTGCTGCTCCCACACCATCGACCAGAAGTCGTCCGTCGTGTGCTTCAGAGGACCTGCGCCAGAGGAGCGGGTGGTGCGGTTAGCGGTGCGAATAACACAGTCCGAGAGACGGGTTTGTCAAAGGAGGACAGTGACATCGCTCCTGGCACTGAATTTAAGGGAGGGAGGAAAGGGCACAAAACACAATGCTTGATGAATAAGTAGGCATATATATTTTTGTGATCCTCAACATGACGAGTGGATCCAATCGCAAAAAAGGATGCATTCGCAGTTCGCGAACTTCACTGCACCAGTGCCATCTTACAGAGACGATTGTAACTACCGAGAGCCCCAGGATAGCCCGCACTACTGAGACAAAGGATACTCAAAGCCCTCTGCCCATCCCTCCCTCTGCTCCGAGTCACGCACCCTGGGCGGCGATGTAGCGGTTGACGACGCCCGAGCCGGGCACCTCCATGTTGACGTAGTTGGCGTTGATGTAGTCGCCCGACTCGGCCGACGTCAGGAGCACCCGCGTGGCATCATCTGACGGCGGAGAGAGAGAGACGTCAGTGTGTGCTAGAGCAGCGTCAGTGCCGCCCCCGTCAGTGGGCAGCGCACATCGGGCACGGAACTGCCACAAACGGACCCAGCGCCACCCACAGACTATTACAACGATCCTAATAGGGGCTATAAATGATTCAGCGAGATAATCGTTCGCAAAAATGCATTGACGTCAATAGAACTAAAACAGAACCTCCCACTTCAAACCATACAAAGAGCGCAAAATGGCCATGTAAACGACGCATAACGACCTCGAACGTCGGTCTTGCCCCTTTCTTACGACGGATACGACTTCCCCTTCTACATTACACACATTACATTACACACTTCTTTACACAACTTTGCGTGTTCTTCATTACACACAACCCTTCCTCATTGTTATTGGACGATTCCCATCCAGATCCACTAGCAGTGTGACATGCCCCTCTCTTTCTCCACTCAGCCGCTACCCTGAGCCGTCCACTCACATGGCGAGATGTCCCGGTAGCGGTTTTTGGCCAGGTTGCCCGGGAGCCGGCAGTCGTCCATGGAGAGGCCGGGTGCCCGCCGCGGCAGTTTCTCAAACTCGGACCGCGCCGCGCCGCCCGCCAGCGCTGCAAAAAGATGGAATACAGGGGTCAGAAGACGTCAGCTGAGGTCATATAGGTGTCAATGGAGCTGGCTGAGTCAGGTAGGTCGCCACTCGTCACAATGCCAGTATGTGCTTTACCTTCAGCGGAACGCTACGGATGCAGAAATCTTCACAGTCGTGAACTGTCTCACATGTTTCACTCAGCGTACAGTTTCACCAGCGGTATAGCCATAAACGGCAGTCCATTGATGCAGAATCAGTCAGTCAGTCACCCCACATACCAGACTGTTACATAAGCTGCCTCCGCCGCCGACCTGCTATCAGCCAGCCCAGTTCAAGCTTGCCCACACAGTTCTCAAACATTCCCACATCAATGATTCACGGCGCTCCAGCGGCAAACACGACTGAATGGCGGTAACTTGTCTGAACAGAACTCTGGGCGGTCGCTCGGGGCGGCGCCGGCGTCTGAACTGGTCCAGTGACGTCATCATCAGGTGAATGGAGTTCGGGGAAGGACTGATAGGCCACCAAACCGTCATATGACAACGCTCAGGAGTCAGGGACGTGGGTTAGATGGCAATGGCCGGAACGGTAGCTGGTTGTGTTTTAAGTTTTCAGTCCATTCCGCTAGGCAAATGAATGGATGACAAACGCGTTCTTTCATATTCAATTCTTGTGCAACCAGTGACCCATCGTCAATACTGGTGTCTTATTGTTTGATGAGAGACGCGTTCCAAGATAAGACTAGGAAATTAAAGCAGATCGTATTTTAGATAGGGGGATGGAGAACATGAAGACTGAGACGAAAATAATAAATTGAAAAAAAAAACACCAAACGCGTCGTATTTCTAAAAAGGTCACGCGCATGAAGTTCCACCGAATGATGTTGTTCGTGATGTCTTAGAAAAATGCTTGCGTGCTTACAATGGTAAGCGCTGATGTAGCAATAACCAGTACAATACCCTCTTAGGGTCGTTCAGGCTATCTCGACAACATATCTGGGCGGACAAGAGCGGCTGAGCTGACCCTAAGAGCCGAGCGCGGTCCCACGATCCCCACTACACCGCCAACGCAGGTTTCTCTCCACATCTATCTCAGCTGAGAGCGCGCCACTCAGCGGGTCGCGATCCGACCTAAAATAGACCCATGGCCGCCTGAGCGGAGCACTGCGGGAGTCCCTACGCACCGCTCACACGCCCACTCGGTGTGAGGGCAGTAAGCGCGCGGGCGCCCTCCCCGGACTCCTCAGAGCCGAAGCAGATGGCGCTGTCTGCACACCAGAGGCTCGGCCCCAGCTGGGCACCAACTGCGCAGCGGGATTGGCTGTTCATAGAAGCACCGCCGCGACCCTCCCGTCCTCCCCGGCGACCCCGCCGGGCCCGGAGCTCACAGCTGCCGGCAGCCAGACAGGCCTTCCTGGCTGGAGGACCTCCAGCTCCAGCTGCGCAGCTGCTGGGCCGCCTCCCAGACCGCCCGCGCCATCTGTCCGCCCGTTCCCGGCGCTGTGCCGCCGCCCTCCCCTCTGACCCGCCGCCGGACCGGCCCCCGCCTTCTGGGGTGGCGTGACGGCGACAGCCAGCCACCGTTTGATGTCTGATCCACGTCGGTCACGCAGGGGGCAGCGACTCGCCCGCCCACCCGCGGGGCCGCGGGTCACCTCACCAGCACAGCTCCGCGGCTGTCAGGTGCGTGCCGCCGACCCTAAGCGGGCCGCTGATCGCGCCGGCCGGGCCGTGCACGGCGCAGGTCACCGAGCCAATCCATTTGGTGGCGCGTCAGTCGGCGGCGGCGGGCAGTTTCCGACAGGCGTCGACGCTTCCGGCGCGCATCGATCGCCGCGGCGGCGAGCACGGCGCGCGTGCGACGCCGCTGATTGGCGGAGGCCAGGGCGGGCCGGACGGGTTGGCTGACGCGCCCACCGGCCCGGCGGTTCAGCAGCCAGTCATATGGCCGGTACGCATGAATGGACCGAGTGGGGGCGTGTACGGAGTAGTGCCACGAACACACTCTGACTCACGCATAACACTGAATGGGTAGGGTAAAGGGATCGTAATGCCGCCAACCCACGCGAACCGTGTTAACGTTTCGTTATTAATTTATCATCATGCAGCGATAAACATTGCGAGGATATTTTCCTCATAAACTTAATCGCTGACTTAAAACTAGTGTAGCCAAACCACTGAATTCACCCAGCATTTTCCATTGCCAATTGTCCGATCGCCACGGATACACGAAGTTCGGCGATCACCATACGATCTTTGATCTATGTGATCCGTGGCGATCTGTACCGCACTGACGGCAGTTGGTGGAACGACCTACCCAGGCCGAGCCGACGATAGCCAGTCGCCTCCATAGCGAGCTGAACCATTAGGCGCTCCGGAAGCCCGGGATCTCGAGCCCCCGGCTGGGGATGGGAAGGGGTACGGTGCAGACGCAACAGCTCCTAGTGGCGGGTCCATGGGATAAGACGGGACGGAAGGGTTGGGGAGGCTAATGGTGGTGAGTGGTCCGAAGGCGAAGTGCTCTAAATGACACAGTTTTAGTTCCAGTAGAGGCCAGTTCTTTAGGGGTGAAATGTGGCCTATCTGGTTCTAGACCTGTTCAAAGTATACATCTGCGTCTTTATGTGTGCCAGCCTACCACCTTACCAAAATCGCAAGACTACACAAAAAAAAAACAGCCAACCACATTTAATTTGTCGTAAGGTTGACAACACGTTCAGTCACCCCTAAACCCCAAGCAAGGTTCGCATTTAGTCACCACATTTCGTCTCACCTTCAGAGAGCATCAGCATGGACTGTGCCAGCGGGTCGCCATCGGGCAGGCTAAGCGACACATACGGCGTGTCGGGCACATACTGGACCAGAGGCTCCTCGCCGTCCCCGCCGCTGCCCTCGTAATTCACTGAAAAACGACACGGTGTATCGGCGTCAGTTCAGAGCAGGCAGCGGGAATGGTACGCGTGGAGGGTTTCTCCCTATTAATTCCTGTTCATTATCAACGCAATGGTCAAATACACTTCCAAGAACCGCTACTGGTTCCTTATTAAGAACACATGTGATGTCCGCCTAAGCTCTAGAAAATCAATCCCATGAATTTACAACAGCCAGCTGCGTTAATGAGTCATTCGTTAATATGAGTCAGACATGAAGATATGCTACAACGACAATCGATTTCAACCGCATTAATCTTACTAATCCCCAAGATCTTAGTTCAAACCCCACGCTACCCATCGGATCATCCTCCATCCTCCATCCCTCAGCAGCCTCCCCTCCTCCTACTTTATGCCACTCTCCCTCTCTCTCACGGACCCCTCTCCCTCTGTCTCCCGGACCCCCTGTCTCCCCCTCTCACACACTCACCGCTGGGCCGTACGGTGAGCACCAGCTCACTGTGCCGCTCCCGGGACGAACGGATGAAGCTGACCACCTCATCGTGGCTCAGACCCGATACATCCACGCCATTGATGAGCACCACCTGTCGGACAAAACGGTAACTAACGTCAGACACGCGGCCTACTGTCGGACAAACTTCATACCGATCCTGCTGCATTCGCGGGTACCCAGTGGGTGCAGGCTGACTTTTCCCGCGATCTAGGCCCTCGTCTGCGCCCTCGGGCCACCAACCCAGCCCGTTTAAACATCGCCTACTGCGTCCGGTCAGTAAAGTTCTGCCCCGCCGCCCGGGGCCCTTCGCCGCCGGCACCGGACTCGTCTGTGCACCGATGTTTCCAGTGCACACCATCGGAAACTTGGCCAGACGAGGGGGCGAGCACCGAGCATCCCCCTGTGGCGCCCGGCGTCCGACGGCAGGAAGGCTGTTTATCATATATTTGCTGTCACAAAATGGAACCGATGGATACAACACGGCGGAAAACAAACACAAAATACTAGCAGTAGCCCCACCGCAAAAGGAACAAACGCCAGCGAGACAAAAGGAATGACAGTGACGTACAACCATAGGAAACCTGCACATACTTCCAATCACGCGAACTTTCAGCGACAGACCATTTCTCAGTCACGCAAGCTTTCCAAAACAAGTCTGTGCCGCTGATACGACACGACTGGGAAACTCTCCAATGAATTGTGTGGTGAGTTGTTCAGCAAACTGCACAGTTGCCTCCGTCGACAGGTACGCAACAGGTGCGGGCGGCGACTGACTGACTGAACCTCGCCCGATCCCAGTGAAAGCCACCTCCGCGATCGGCACCGGGCCAACTCCGTCTGAGAAAGGCGGTGGCATGTCGGTCCACCCATCGGGTCTGGGCAGAGCCCAGTGGCGCTACGGCAAGCCCGATGAACTCTCCGCCACCGCTCTCCATCCCCGGGTACACAGGAGGCACACGCCGGGGTGCACCATTGCCAGTGTCCTTCAGAGGACCAGAGCACGCCCAAGTCGCCTCCCCCGCTCTGTGCGACGTAGCGCGTGCTGCTGCCTAACATAGGCGGTACCGTGCACGACGACATGACCTGCAAGCCGCCCATGGAGCACGCAGCGGGAGCGGGCGGGGGCGGGGGCGGGGGCGGGGGCGGCGAGATGCGGCCACGATAGTCGGCCGGCGCTGCGTCACTGCAGAGAGCCGCGGCGCGGCGCGGAGCGGCACAGATGGGTAGCCGCCGGAGACGGCCCATGACCAGACAGATGGCGAATTTAAATACCGCACCGGGCCGCTACCGGTCAGCATAACGGTGTGACCGTGAACGACGAACCGAGCTAGCGGCGGTACATCGATAGTCGACTGGACCACTTCACAGTTCACAGACGGATAAAACCTGGGATATCTCAAAGTACATACATGGGCGTTTCGTTGCCACAGCTACCCAGTACACATGTAGCTCAGAGTCGCCGAGTCACATACTTCCTAATTCCGTCAAAAACGACCAAGCTGATGTGAGCTGATGTAACGGCGTTGCAACCCGACACTGGCCTCTTATCGTCGCCATGACAACGCCCAAACAAAATGCCACGAATTCGCCGGTCGTCCGTTCGACCACTGCCCACGATCCGGCGTCCCAGCGCTGCCGCTGTGGTGCCCACAACAAAACGCTACCGAGCGACTTCCCGTTCTTATGGCTCCCAGACTGACACCACCCTAGTAACAGCTCCGAACCGGCTTCGGCAGAGGAGTGAGCGGCGGCGCGGCGCAACGACCCGCACTGGAAACGCCGGCGCCAGAGCTCGGCCGCCCCCGTCGTCTTTGAGGCCTTTCAGAGCGGCGCCTGCTCGTTACCTCGGTCAAGGGGTGTCGCTGACACCATGTCGCCGGGGAGCTGCGGTTAGACGGCTCCCAGCGCCACTGCCGGCTGGATAAACACCCCAGCTCGGCTTCAGGATAAATGGTGGCATCGATCCAGCAGACCACTGACGACGGGCCGTGACCCTGCTGCACGACAAAGGTCGACTACGCTTGGTGCGATGCAACACAGACAAACAGAGACGTACCACAGCCGGTATCATCCAGAGGAGGGAGTGATATAGGTAAAACGACAGGCGGTTGGTGCTGATTACAATAACGTAGATAACCGCAAATTCGAGCGGACTGGCTGAAAATCTAGTGACGCTTCAGTGGGTTCACAAATAACGCTAATGACCTGAAGCTGTAATATATTAATTTTAGAGCGCGCCGAGCAGCACGCACTCTCTGACCCACAAATCCCTTCGAACCCGGGGCGTACTTATGAACTCAGATCGTGCCCGATGAACTCTGTAAATACACCCGGGAAAACCTCTGATCCCTGGATGCAAATCCGGCCCCGGGGCACACTCGACGACCCTCCGAGCACTCCGGGAACTCTCCGGGAGCACTCTGGGAACTCTGCAAGAGCACTCCGCTGACAAGGCTGTTCCATACGCGGCCTGTCATCTGCCGGCGGCTCCGACCAGCTCTCAAAGGCCCGGGCGGGGCAGCAGCTTTGTTCCAGTTTCCGCTGTCGGCAGCCAGTCCGGAAACGGCTCAGATTTAGCGCGGCGCCGGCCGGCCGGCCAGGGTCGGAGACGGCGGCAGCGCGCCGGGGGGTCGGCGGTCATTTCCGCAGCCCCGGGCGACAATATGGGTCAGGTGAGGGGTGTCTGGGTCGCGGCCTTGGGTCTGAGGAGCCTGTCGGAGACGGAGCGACAGACAAGAGAGGGTGAGGAGAGGACAGGGAGATGAAGAGACCCAGTGGGAGGAGACAGGAAATGACCGGAAGACGGGGGTGAAGAAACATAGTTTACAAGAATGTGGCGACAGGAGACAGGATGAACAGAACAAAACCCTTAATGGTGGCAACATTCCGTCCCGGAAAAGCTTCAGTAGTAAAAAAGGCATATTACAAACCCACGAAAAATATAAAACGTCGAGCGGGAACACCAAAATGAAGCAATATTAAGGCTAACGAAATGTTGCAACGTTTGCCTCAAACACTTTCCGTCCCACGTCATCCTGATTTTTCATTTATGTTTCTTTAAAGCCGGTCCCCACGGTGCGATTCGTCGAAGAGACGGTTTGTTTGGAGGTCGACTGCTGCTAGCTGCAGCTGGGATACAGACTCGTGACCTCTAGGTCAGCGGCAGTTGCTCGCGATACTACGGTGCTATAACGCGGAGACCTTCACCTCACAGCCGCAGACGGCACACCTGCGATACTCTGACTCATTGCTGCGCCACAGGTGGGCCGTCACTCACCCTTCTCCCCCTCCCCCTACGTACACACTTCCCGTGTCGATCAAACGTCCTGCCGACGAGCTGTATCGGGGACCCCGGGAACCCGTCGACATCGTCAGAGACGCACGGAAATGAGTCACCAAGTATCGAACCGATATATTCACGGAAACAGATTTCAGAGCTCGGATTATGATAAACCAAATATAAAGATTTGATTTCCTAGGGCTTTAGTCTCACATACGAATTTCACGTAAATATGAAGCATTCACTCATGAGCTTTGATTGCTAAGTTGTTAGGAAAATTCCAACATCCGCTGAAGCCGCGGGCTAACATAGCATGTGACCTCAGACAGGAAATACTTCAAAGGGAGGGGGTGTCAGCACGTGACCCAGTCTGGTTGTGCACGGGCCATGAACGTGACGCTCACTCACGTGTACCGAGAGCCTTCCACGGAAGGAGCCGACTGCAATCCGGACATTCACCACTAAGTTCTCCGTGATGGACCGTTTCTCGACGCGGCACAGGACGACTCTGAACGTCACATTCCAGTAAAGAACAGGCGTTAACTATGCCTAACCCGGCCGTACTGTGCCGATGGGTCCGGTCGTCACGGCCCTACACGATTGGTCTTGCTCTGCCTCCTCTCCGTGAGGACGCCCCAACAGACATGCTGTCCCTGGCTAGCTCGCAGCTGACGTGACGCCTCATTTCAGTACGCTGACCTCTGGACCATGCGAAGAGACACGCCCTTCACTGCCTCCGCTACAATACCTATCTAATGTCATCCCACCAAGCCCATCCCACGTCCTCCCTCACTCCCATCATCGTCACCCATCACACCCATCCTCCGCACCCATCCCACCGCACACCACGGCGTCATCCATCTTCGCGCGCCCCCGGTAGGCGCGGCTCTGGGCCGGGCCATCTGGGGCCCACGGCAGCCGGTTGCGTCCCGCAGAGCACGGCGGAACGTGGGTCGGAAGCTGGGAGACACCCATGGCCCGCCCAGCGCCGGCAGGCGGCACATAGCACGGAGGCAAGACGCAGCTGCACGGTCATTTAAAGATGAGCTTGTTGTGAGCATTACTGAAAATGATAATGATATCTCCATGACACAGTGAATTAATCCACATTAACTTTACCATTTAATTTAAAGCAAGACCACAACAAACTGGCTGCAACTTATTAGCACCAAAGCTAGGCTCAAAAGGAATTGCAAGAATATCACAACCATAACATCCCTTGTGTGAGAGGTACGAAGTCTCACGTCCAATGACACAACCAGCACCGCGCGAGCGCCATGATGGCCGCAGCAGACGATCATGGCGCGCGGCCGCCGGAAGCAGCGATCCCGCCGCCGTCCGTCGCCGTCGACACCAAAATAGAGCCGAGCTGCTGCGGGAACCGGGGAGGCTGGCCGATTCGGAGAGCTGATGGTGTACTACCCAGCGCGGCTCAACCAGCTCACTGAGTCATTGACTCACGCGGCTTATCGACTCACTGACTCACCCAACACCGGATATTGTGTCAATGTATAATGTACTTAAAGCTAACCCCTAAATCGGTATTGTGACTAAGTGAGTCCAGCATAATCAGGTCAGGTCAGACTATGGACTAAGTTGCCCGTAATCAAAACAATCACCTAAACGACGATGATCTTCGAAGCCCCAGTTCGAGCTTACCGCTATAAACACTACCCTTGCTAGCAAGGCCCATCCTAACTCAGTGCTTCACCACTGAGCTACCAAACAATGCTTCCCCGCTCTATTTCATGTCACCACAGCTGAGCCGCGGCCGGGTCGGAGGGACTCCGCCGGACCGTGCCCCGGCCCGACACGGGTCGCCGGGTGCCGCCGCACCGTGGGGACTTATGCCATCCTAGCACGCATTAAGTGGCAAGTTAAAGTATTTCGATTTCCACTTTTTTGTTATTCATTCCACGTAGAATTGTCCAGCGCATCCGAATCACACCTTAAATCGTCTGTAAAATGATTGTTTATGCCTCAAAAAACCTCTCAAAGTGTAGCTTCGTCCTGACCAGCGTCGTGCTACCTGCATACAGCGAAAAAGCACACTACAATAAAACGCCCTCTCACTCGTTTCCCTGAACAGCAGGTTATAGTTGCGACATGTTTTCATTATCTTTGACTTATAAGGAAGTTGATGGTATGCACGAAAATTTCCAAAATTCATCCAAATGTATAATTTTTGACCAAAATGCTAAAAATGTTAAAATGCTTCTTGATTCAGAGAGTTGACAAGCAAACTATTCCCTTACAAAGTTTGATACGCGGTGTTACGCGTGGAAATGTATATCAAAATGTTCTCCAATAATTTCTGCATCGGGGGCAGCTCTCATTTTTTGCCGAAATTTGCCTAAACCAGTCACTATGAGACGTCAAAGCAGACGGTGCCGCGTGGTTTCGTACGCCCCGCCGGGCCGCGCCGCGGCGAGTTACCCGACCGCAGCACACCGCCTGGGGGTTTCCGGTCAGTGTAGGAGTTGGGAGGATGGAGGAAGTGGTGATACCATGTTGACATTATTTTTCTATCGCCAAATGTTCTTTTTGAACAAAACAACAACACCCTTGCAACGCTGCGTCCATTTTATTGGCTACCGCCGCCAATGTTCACCTTATTGAACTTCAGTACAGAGCTTTGATATACATATGTAGGTAAATCGAAAAATGCTGTAACTTTGTAAAGTGAGATTGGAGGTTTTTGGGGTGCTAATCACGAATTTCAAGCTAGTTTTGATCAAGGATGATGTTTTTATGCTAGGCCGGGTCAGGTCAGGCCCGACCAGTAGGTGTCTTGCCGGCTATCCATAGAAGGTAGGCGTCGATTACCTTTGACGGCTTCGTAGCATGTTCCGTCAGGCACCAAAACTACTTAAATCTTCAAATGGGTGTTAAGTTCGAAATAATCTCCAAGCACTTATCTGGAAAAATCGTATACCTTGAAAAAGTCAACTAAGGTCATCTAAGGTAAATGACCTTGATTTGACCTTAACGTGACCTTAAAATGCAAAGAACAAACAGCATTTCATACCTTTGAGAGTTAACAATCACAACAAGACTGAAAACGCGCCGATAATGTGCGCTGATAAGCGCCAAATCGATACCAGCCTGACATGGTCTGGTGAAACAGGTCACAGGTCAAATTTTTATTAAGGTCAAGGTCATGAAATTTTAAGTGTGTGAGTAACATTGATCGAATCGAAGGTATAGAAAGTTTCGTCGTGATCCGCCACGTTTTGCTTGAGTTAGTATGCGAAAAGTCGAGGACAGAAGTCTGTGCGACCCCCTCCCCCTTTAAGTGCAAGGACTAACAAAGTGCCCGAAATGCCTTTTGGTGATTGGGCTAGACATGAACAAATATCTACTTCTAAAACGATTGTAGTTTCGTTCTACTTTTTTAACGCTTCCACGCCCACGATGCATTGCTAGCCGAAAACGCTTCAGTGCTAAGTCCGTGGGGAGGGGGCGGGGGAGGGATGGGGTCAAGCAGGAGAGCCAACCATGTTGTCAGGGATCATACACCCTTAGCCTAACCATTTGAAGGTGAAATAAAATTAGTTAAGGTAGCGGAGGATGCGATATAAATAAATTCGTGCTAGGATCGATAAAAACCCCACAGTGCGCCGGCCGTCCGGCCTGACACGTGCCACTGACGCGCTGATGATCTGAGCCGGTCCGCTGAGCTGCCATTAGCCGTGGGACCGAGCCGACCGGTCAGACCGGGCGACGCAGACACGCGTGGATGGGTCGCCGACATAGACACGAGGGTGGATCGCTGTCTCAGACAAGCGCGGACGGACAGCTGCATCATAGCTGATGGACCAGCCGGCCGGCTAAGCGTTCAGTGCGTTTGATCGGACTGATGCGGCCGGACGCTGCACCGTCACAGCTACGCCGCGCAGACGGTTCGCTGTCCTCACACGCGAGTGGTCCGCTGCCTCAGATACGCCGCGCTGCACCGTCTCTGCCTCTGCCGCCGACATTTATGGACAGAGTTATAGCGCTCGGAGTTTGTCTGAGACTGACAGGGATAGGGGGTCGCTGGACAGGACGCACCAGCACAATGCTGGGGTTATGTAAGCCAGTCCGTAACAACAATGGAGCGTCGATCGCCGGTCGGCAGATGCCAGAACTGGCAACTCACTTGGGCGACAGTGGGGCGACCCGTGAAGGTCATGCTGGATTCCACGAGACGGGTATGTGCAATACCGAGCCATGCTCAGCATGCGCCTGCCATCGGGAAGATGTGGGTTGCGAGGTTCCCCCTGTCGAATCAACTTTAGGATGCCAGCGGTGTGAGACGTTGCAGTATCCAAGGCACGGCTGTGACCGGCCGGCCGAGTATAGCTCCGCGTGGGAGGGTCGGACCGGCGGGCAGAATTTTCACCGCGAATGGTACGCTTTGTGCCTGCTAAATGATGGGTTGGCGTCGCCAGCGGACCCTGGGCGTACCCAGTACGTCCCAATCACATCAGAGGCCTCACCGACCACCGGTCCGAGTCAACAGATACACAACTGAGCCGCTTCGGTACACTGCGTTCATTGAGCGCAGACAGCAGCGATATGAGACCAATCCTGGAGATATTCCTGCCATCCGGGTTTTCAACAAATAAATCTTGTTGGCTCATACCCTGGCAGACGTCCAATATATCTTCAGATGTTAGTTCTACGGTGAAAGAAATTCTCTCAGACTCACCGGCCAAGCATATGCTTTTCTCACTCATACTCTCTAATGTTCCCCGGGGCGCCCGTACACTGCCCCAGTTCTCGAGACACAAGGCATCCACCCACCAAGCCGCGGCAGCTCCCAGCTTCACCCGAGCCGAACACGCAATCACGGCCTGATGAAATCACGCAACCGACACATCCCACGTCTCAACCAATTCATCAAAATTCCGCCCATACACAGACTAAAAGAAAATAAACAATAAAAACCTACCCAAAACATTCACCTCATCACGCTATTCATTCTCTGCCACACCTACTATCTGCCACCGTCTTCTGACCCCTCCCCCTCAACACGCCACACACACCCTCAGCATTTACCTTCCATAGCTAACCATCCCAGTCTCGACACACCACCATGCGACTGCCTTTCTCACCTGGTCACCCTCGCTGAGACGCGGCGTGGTGCGGTCTGCCGGAGCGTTCGGAGCCACCTTGGACACGGTGACGGGCGTGCTGCTCTCGGCGCCGCCCTTGACGTTGAAGCCGTAGCGGCCCTGGTCGTCGGGCTTCATGTGGATGACCACCTGGCTGCCGCACGGACTCTCGGTGTGGCCGTTACTCTGCGGAGGAAATGGAGCCAGTCAGGCGGGCTGGGACGCGTGGGAGCGGCCGCCGCCGGTGTAACACTGATGGGCGGCGTTACGACAGTGCGGCATCCGCCCAACCGACCGCGACCAACAGCGACCGGCGATGGGCCGGCGATGGGCAGCGATGGGCAGCGATGGACCGGCGATGGACCGAACGCGGTCGTTGACGGAACAGTGGTCAAGCTTCGAGGACTAATGGATCAGTCACGGAACAGCGACAGCCGAATGACGGATCAGGGACGAACCAACTAAGGATCAGTGGCACACCGATCGAGGAGAACTAACGGAAAGAAGATACCAATTATGCCACGGATGACTGGCAGGTCACCGGAGTTAGTTGAGGCATGCGGAGTACCATAAACATTTACAAAGACCAGGGACATAAACACCCTTATACACATACCTACTGACAGACATATCGCCAGTGAATGAGACACGCAGATATACGGGCGAATAGTTCGGCGACACAGTCAGACAGCAAGACGATGTCATAACAAGCCGACCAGAAGACAACGCACTTCCAGCCTCGTCAAAGGCAACACACACGTCAACGATAATGAATGGGACGTGATCCGAAAGTGTAACATTATTGCGTCTTTCTCTGAAAGGAATCAAACGACAGCGAAGACGTGCGCACCAGTGAGTCGAATAACAAGGCTCCGCGCGATCCTGCGAGATCGTCTGCTCGCACAGGCACGTTCCATCCGTGAACCCTAATGCGATGTTGCAACGCTTCTCGAGCCGCACCAATTTGGAGGCGCGAACAACACGTTACACAACCGTGCTTCTGCGTAAAATTTCCGCACCAGCCCACCATAGCGACGCCATTTGAAACGCTGAAGCAAGCACCAGAAGACAAGCCTGGTGGTCGTTAGCGCACTACAGTGCAAGATTTTCAGTAGAAACATCACAGCTGGTTAAATTTTCTGCACAGCGGCTGGGATCAGACCATCTAATACTATTTCGGGAGAGTCGCGAACGGAACGCACTTATTACATCTAATGTTAGCCCACGTCCAATTGGAGTCCGGCGACCGAAGATGGGAACAGCACCTCATACATTGGTTATTAACCCTCTAGTGCCCCCGGTATCATATCTGTAAGTCAATTTGCAGAAAATTCGCCTGCTAATCATAGAGGTGAAAATTGTTGAAAACCCTGCAGTATCAGAAGTGGTACGTCTTGGCAACCACCTGGTGGCAAAATTTTTAAGTAATGATATCTCAGTTTCCCACCAGGTGATTTTGAAGAGGGTCAGTTTGTCCTTTGCTGAAAGTCAATTTGAGATGCAAGTGTAAATTTAAGCATTTAGAAAACAAAAAATTAGTTATTTGGAAAGAAACTTGGTATACTGTGAGACAAATGTTCAACATATATCATAGTATGTTGCAAAACATCGCAGCTATTTCAGGGTCAAATATATGGACCCCTATTTTTGGGGATACTAGATATGATACAGTGGGCATAGCACTCCAATATTTTCTATGAATTTTTCGCCGCTGCAACATACGGTGTGCCAATACCATAGTTTTCTCCGGTGATAAGCATTGCAATGGCCTGTGAGTCATTGCAAATGACGATGGTACAAGATGCATAAATTTGTGAAGTTCGCACCTCTTGCGCCAGATGCTCCAGACTATTCCGCTCCAGACTTAAAATATCATGATATTGGTACGCTTATGCCGCCTCTCATCCTTGTCAATCTTCTAACATCTAGCTCTCTATGAGTGGCCTTATGCCTCATACATCTCGACTTTTCTAACGCTCGTAGGAATATGGTTTTGCAACTGTTTGACGATGACAATAGTGAACCATTTGATCTGCAGGACACTGGCAGACCATATCTTCTAAAACCACGTTAGGAATGACATGCTATCGATGACAAGCTTGTTGATTTCAAGGAACGATCATCCGTGCGAGCATTTATACTCGTGAAACCAAAAATTGAGACTTGATGTTAGGGACAGGAGGATTCAGTGGTCTCTTGCACAATTTCGATATTCCAACAGGGGTTGTGGACGGGCTTATTTATGTCTTGTGGGTCTATGTGTTAGCTGGGCATGGATGAATACTTGCATTAGCAGCCAGCCAGCATTTTTCATTCATATTGGAGAACGATTCACAATTTGTTTGCGATTCAGATCTCCTCCGTTCATCCCAGTAGTAAGAGATTGAATGTGGAGTGGAAAACTATATCGTCATCTTCAGAGGAAGCTCGCTAAACGGGCTCGCCATGAAGACAGACTCAGGACCGAAGGGCGTGGTTCCTTTGATTTCCTATCTAAGAAGTAGGCAACCATGCACTGCTGCCAGGTTCCAGCAGGTGCCTGACACCTGGCAAGCATTTTCACTGCCAGGTAGGTCATTTGTTGTCATATATTGACATATGCCGCCAACTATGGTAGCTGAGTGTCACTAAACAAAAAGGATTATACTAAAACATGGATACTACTTTTGTACTGACCATAAGAATAAAAGTTACGGCATTGCGTAAAGCGTATGCTCACCTCCATATGAGGTCAATGAACATTGTGCAAGTTCCTGCCGATCGGTACACAGTTACCTGTACCTTTGTTGTCTGACACGTACAACGGTTACTGCACTGGTCAGTGCGCGGCTGTTGTACTGACGCTGATGACATCAGGACCGCACGACCAGTCAAAGTAGTAACTGACGATTCACAGGCTGAGGGTTTCAGTCACCAGGGATTGTCCGGCTATCGTGAAGATAAACCAACATCGTCTTTGGCATTGATCCCGGTCCGTCGGCAGGCTGTCCAGCATTTTGCATCAGAACTGCTTCACTTCAACCACTTACCGCGAGCCAACTGTAATGTCTTCATTTCTATATCAAGTATGCATAACGCATCTACGTTTGAGAAGCATGGCCCACATGTCTGAATTATGAAAAAATTGCACAAGTGCAACGCGCTGTATCGTGGAAATTGAAGGAATAGAAGGCACTCGTAAATAGATGCCTATGATTAGCGTTGTTCCCTAAGCAGTAAGCACCGACTGAAAGGACATTTTGATACAAGAAGAATGCCAATGAAATATTAAGAAAATGTTCTGATAAAAGGTGCACAGTAAAGGATGTCTTGTTGGCATTTTACACATTGTAACTGCCACTTTTATCACTGAAATTTTTGATAATATATATTTTCTCATCTATGTCTTCACTTCCTTCTGTGTGGTCTGATACCACTAAAAATTAGCAAGTGGAATGCCCAATGTAGGGGAAGCCGGGGGAAGCCCGGCATAGTAAGCTCTTTTTCATTTTTATTACATACCATACATGCTGTATAAAATGTTGATATCCTGCTAGCTACCTAAGTTCATTGGCCGTGTTTTCCCAAAAATTCGGTTTTGTGGAATAAGTATAAGGTTGAGAAAATCGAGTTTTAAAAAAGTGTTGATTTTTCTGGGGTAAGCCCGGCATAGGGGTAACGCCGGCCACCTCCTCAGCGCTTTACAACAAGTTGATGAAACCATTATGTGTTTTCCAAATATTAACGGAAAGTGAAATATTAAGGTACTGATTAGCTCTGGACATCTTAGAGTTTATGTCACTACTGGCATTTTAGCTAGCGTCTACTACATATACAATACAGGTCGATGAAAATCGTGATGCGAAATTGACAAAAAATGTGTATTTTAAAATTCCTTAAAATTTATTTTTCTTTTTACCTTAATGCATCATATTGCATGTCATTCGACTCGGCTGATGAAGAAGAACACAACGACTCCATTTTTGAAGCTCTAGCTTCATTGTCTGTCGCGTTATCTGCAAAAACGTAGTTTGACCCTAGTTGACCTTAAGTGACATGACTGGCTTTGTCTATGATAACATGTTTATTTTCTAAATTTATCTTTGATCTAGGTGTAAACCAAACCTGCTCAGTACCTATTATCTCATGGAAAACAGTGGTTTAGTGGCATTGCTCTCGGTTGGGGGTAAGCTTGGCCACTCGCCCGGGGTTACCCCAATGTGCTAATTTTTATTTTAGAACAGCGATATTCGAAAAAATGTCATACTTAAGCCAGCCTGCCTCGTCACCCCTCACTACAAACACTTAAACTGTCCTTACATAACATTCGTATAAATATTAGTACTGTATGGTATAACATTAACAGTACAAGATATCTCACTTTTTAGCTAAAAACCATTAAAATATCATTTTTGCGCTATAACTTTAACAATATGCAATTTTTGTCAGCCTTAACTTTTTTGCTGTCGTTACCTTAGCTGCCACGCTGAAAGGACAAACAGTTGAGCATTTTATTGTGAATAATTTAGCCGGAAACGGGGTGGCCGGGCTTCCCCCGCGCCCGGGCTTCCCCCGGCTTCCCCTATCATATCTGATACAAAATTTATTTCCGAAATTTGAACTGCGAAAAAATATTTGACATCAGATTTCGAACAAGGGACCCAAAATGAGTCATATGTCACAAGGTGTTAATTTTTGGAACCGTGGAACTATGTGTGGGCATTAGAGGGTTAACCCGCACCCGCATGGTAGCACGCTCGGGTAATATCTCCCTGGGCGGGCTAGGCACGGGTAAGCGTAGCGGGCCTCAAAGGTCAAGGCCGTATTGGCTAGGGTCAGGAGTGGGGTCACAGGACGGGCGGGTCACGGCGTGGGAGCCCATTTATCGCGCAGACAGACGTTCAGCTGGTATTTTCAGCGTGGTGTGGCCGTTATCAGCAGACCACCAAAAGACTTTCAGCAGTCCACCAAAAGACTTTACCTCGGCATTAGGCATATCAGGCATCAGGAGAATATTTTACTAGATGACTCATTTCCTGACATATTTCAGATATAGCAAGCAAGCAAGCATATAGAGAGCAAGCGAGTGGCTTTAAGGGATTCAAGGCAAAAAGCCAACCATCCCTGTGACTTCGTTACTATCATCTCAGCCTCTAGCTTTTGGAGAGGCCGCAACCGTCACCCCTTACACCTCCCTCCCTCCTCTC